GTGGGTGCGTGCGTGCGTGCGTGTTTCTCTTTCTCCAGAGAAAGACATAGATCGACAGACAGAGATAAGTGGTACAGAGAGATAGACAGATAAACAAACGGATAGATAGATAGATACATAGAAAGACAGATAGACAGATGGGTAGATAAATAGATGGACAGACCGATGTGACATTCCATTGTCCGCAACATAATGACCCTGGTCATGTGCTACGTCCGCACGTGCTGTGTCACACACGCACATAATCACATGTACATATATGTAAGACACAAATGTACATACATACATACATCATGCATATGACATATTCCAGGACGGCATCGGCAAAAAAGGTGCACTACCACCTTCTCCGTTCTCCATGAGTTCTGGCCCTCCTTTCTTCCGTGATTCATAATCTATCATGAACTCTACATGATTCGCCTGGTTTTTGCATGGAAACCACCCCGCCCTCCGAGACTCGCATCAAGTCGCGCACGCCTAACACTGTGACGACACCGAAACGCTTCAACGACCGGAGATCATGGCCACGGCTCAGAAGCGAACCCCGCCCGGTTCTTGCCCTGGGCTCTCCTCTTTAGTCCGAGTACTTCAGGCCTTCTGAACACGAACCCTACTTAGATGCAAGTTTATATCCGATCTGCCAGGGGCCGACACCCTCAGTTGATTGCAATGCCCCGGGCCTGTGTCTTCGATTTCGACGAAGACTCGCTGCTCTGCATCATCGTAGCCAGCTGATACCACCACCGAGCCCTCATGAGTGAACCTGTCGTGTCAGCATGTGAGGCTGAGACTCATTTACAACGACGTCGTCCGTGGGTCCATGCAACAAGTCCCAGGTGCTTGATCGCGTTCGTGATCAAGTTGTACAACAGTTGCGTGCAGCGGTAAGCATCAGCTTCGATAATTGGCAGCGTGTCGTGAATGTTGTTGATAAGTTGAACACCTGGAAGGCATGTCACGCAAAAGAGCGACATAAACACAACGAGACAGATGTGCCTGGTCTGAGCAATGGTCCTCTGTCTTTGCCGTTGCTAGCTTTCCGGCAAAGAGTGATGACTTCTTCGATGATGTCCTCGAGGGTTCAGTTGTTTTATCTTCTCCAACCCAAAATAAACACCAAACGCACCTCGACCCCTCTCCTTGACCTGTACCGGATCCTTGGACATTCGCATCTTCTTGTTGTTCACCAGCACGGACCTGAGCAACGAAGACCCTGGCAGCCCACTACCATGGAAACCTAAAACCCTTTCCCCCTGCACCCCCTCCCCCCTCACATCACGAGACGAAAGGCACTTAGTAAGACTCTAATTCTTGCCAAGGCCTCCTAAGGTCCGCGCTTGCTAAGGTCTTGCTAAGTGTTTGCTAAGCCTTTCGCCTCCTGAGAATGTCTTGTGATAATAAATAACAGTAAGAAAAACCTTCCACCAAAAGCAAAAGCGGTCTCAGAGGTTTTTATCTTCTCTTATCTCTTTGCAGCCCTGCAACGTGTCCATGATGTTGGCCACCATGTCCAGCAAGCGATTTGCGCAGTTGTACACCATCTCCAATGACCTCGGAACCTGGCCTTCCTCCACGGCTGCATTGCCATCCAGAAGGGAACTGCAGAGGCCAATGATTCCATGCAAAGGGCTTTTGAGCTCATGGGAAACCATGGCCATCATCGAAGCTTTCCGCTCGTCCAGGTCCTTGAGCCTCGTAACGTCTTGACCGATGCAGATGGCACCGTTGATCTGGCCCGACAGGGACACACATGGGGTGGCCGTAAGGAGCAATGTTCTCTTCCTCAGATCTCTGTTTCGCGCTTGTCGTGTGAGATAGCTCGTCATGCGACAGCGACCTCTTACAGCAGAAGATGAAGAGGTGGAGTATAAGACAACAAATAACGGAGAACCTGTCCAAGCTTGACCGAGCTTCTGGTCTTCTGTATTCACCAAGTTGATCTCAAAGAGATCGGCGTCGCAGGAGCCCAGAACTTTTTTACACGCATCCTCTCCAGCTCTTAGCGGGCTCGCTTCTGACTCAGGCTGCAAGTTTGGGTCGTTGGCATTCGTCATCATGTGCATGGTGCACAGCACTGTGGTTCATAGATGATGCTGCCACAAGCAGCTGCGGCACTCTTGGCGCGACGTGCTAAGATTGAACTGCAGTTGGAGGAACAGTACTTGCAGCCAGAGATGGGAGGTTCATGAGCAAGGATTGCAAGAACGACAGTTCTTGTGCAGGTATGCTTGCCTAAACTCGTGGCACAGGGAAAGCTACAAAACAGTGTGAATGCAGGTCAGCAACTATCACGGGGTGGGCTTGCAGAACTGATTGCCAAGCCTGGGGTTGAGGACAACAACAAAATGGCTAGGTCTTGCGCTCATGTTGATGAGCATCAGAATTCCAGATAGTACAGCGGCAACCGCGTTGTGCTTCGGTTCCTCGTCGTCAATGCTGGGTATGCTGGGTAAGATCTGGGTCGTTTGGGGATGTGAGTCATTTAGACGGTCACAGGACCCTCGCGCAGAAATGCATCGGTTCAACCACGCCTTCTTGATGACCTGTTCCGATGAGAACACGCATGCAGAACCAACGGGCTTCTCCGAATCAGAACACTTCTAAAGAGTTGGGGCGGATCCTGGAACTTCTTCTTGGACCCAGGGCTCAGCACCGTGGAGATGTGCTTTCCCAGGACAGCCTGCCTCTCCAAGCCGGTGGTTCTCACCAGCCAGTTGTTCCAGACCACGATATTGTCCGAGAGGTCCACTTGAAAGATGGGGGTGTTGGCCTCGACGTGGACGCATTTGGGGGGTTTCTGGAGTAGATTTCTCAGCCAAGTCACAGCTTCGATCAAGCCTTAACAGCAAGTCAAGAAAGTGTCTGCAGATATCCGTTTTCGGCGTAGATTCCGGCCCCGGGGTTCGACTGTCCCAGAACAAGGCGTCAGCTTCGGATACGGCCAGGTGGCGCGTCAGACCATCTGCGACAGATTGTGCTTTGTTCTTCTCCTCAGGTTGACTCCAGGAACGCCAGAAGTCACTCCAAGCCAGTCAAAGCCAAGAGTCTGCAGTGATGGCAGAAATATCTTGCCCGATGCCTTGGACAACAAACAAGTTCGCATCTTTCTTCACATGTCGTGTGCACCATGTCCACTCGCAGCAGTCGCAGCAACACTGGGTGGCAGAGGCGGCCAAGCTGCACACGGCACCCTTAACTTCACCGGAGCCACCGCGCAGGACGGTGGCAGACACTGCCATTACGGTTCCCGCGGGGTAAGTGAAATGGTCGCCAGCATTGAATGTCATCCTGAGTCATCTAGGAAGCGATGTCAGACAGGAGAACTTTGACCAGACTCATAAACTGTGACTTTGCTTTGCTTTTTTGGTCGCGGCTCTCAGTGATGTTCGGCCCGTGTTCTTCCATGGCATCCTGCAGCAGATCGCCTTGGCTGAGCGGCTGACCTTTGCGGGATGCCAAAGGGGCGGTTTCGGCCGCTCAGGCCTGCAGCTGACCACCAAGAGTCCAACTCCTCTCCCGAGGCAAAGTCCTCGGAGGTGGGCGGCTTTTGGGCTCTCCGTCCGAGTGTCTTGAAGTATACACTTAGCCGCTGATAGCACGTGACCCACTGCTTCTGTCCGGGAAATGCCTGATGCCAAAGGGAGAGCTTGCAGTGCACGTGTGCAATCATGTACGGAGCAGGCCTGTTACCTCCTCAATCTTCAAGTTCCAGTCCTGGAAACACGAGAGAAAAGGGCGCCGGCAAAAAGTGTCGGAGAATCCTAAAGTGCCTAAAGCGACCCGGTGGGGGCCCAAAAATTAGACCAATCTCGATTCTAAGGGACCCGCCCTCCATAAAGGTCACCCGCACTTATTTAACCACGGTGTTTCGCTCGCTTTTCAGCAAATCTTCTTCAACTCCGTATTCAAGTCGATACCCACCGGCAAGTGGCATCGCCAAACCCAGGCATGTGCATATGTCTTGAGCCTGTCATTGACAGGTCCACCCAAGCTTTTCTTGCTATGAATTTGTGATGGTATGAAAGCATCCATAGCCTACCACCAGCGGTCGATTACCTGAGTACCAACTACCACTACCGATGCTGGCTTCTCCATTCCAGGCAATCTCTTCACAAATTCGAATTTGTTATGTTTCAATTGAAAATTCTTGATACCTTTAATTTAACATCGCACAAAGATGGCCATGCCGGAGCTCCGTCTGAATACAAACGAACACGGGTATCAGTTGCCTTTACTATCTGATCCAAGACCCTGCTATCCTGGAGTTCCTTCTTGCTTTCGACGGACACCCTGTCCGGACCTGTAGCCTGATTTGGCCATCCGCTTCTTGACTCCCACGACACGTAGGTGAGCTTGCCAGTAAGATGGCAACTTCTTATCAGGATTTGCTTTGCGATATCGTGTGGTCGCGTCCTCAATCTCTGCACTGAAGTGTTGGTTGCGAGGGGAAACATACAGTTTTCGAATACCATGCCCATCAGCCTCAAGTTCTCCACTCAAACGATGCTTGACTTTTGTTGTGGCGTTCTCCAGCTTTGGCCTCCTCAGCCAGCAGGGCATTAAAGGCACGCTCCACAGGCTTGCGAAATATTTTCACCGACCTTTCCACAGCATGAACATTTGTGAGGCGGCTTCGATCGAAGCCTCACGGATCCCTTTCCCATGCTGGCATGTGTATGTGTATATATACATATGTACGTACACACACACACATATATATATATATATATGGCCCCCACCCACCCATGTACCCACGCCTTTCTTCTAAATCTCA